CATGCATTTCTGTACACAATTTTTTTAAATCAAGTTTATTACTTTTTTAAACCCCTCCCTGTATCTTCATCAGGTGTAATACCTTTGGCATATATCTGTATTTGGGTAAGAAAATTATAAATTGAAAAGGCTAAGTCTGATTGGACAGACAGCATCTTCTGACGTCTATTTTCACATTTTATCAAACCCATTATTGGCTTTAAGTCAGGGACTGTTCTCCCTGCTGCCCTCTAGGAAGAGGCTTCAAGGCATCCAAAGCAAGCTTTGTATTCACTGTGTGTGTACAACATGGTAATAAAGTTTGTCTATGTCTAAGTCTGAGTAAAAAGAAAAGTAAAAAATGGAAAACTTTACAAAGAGCTGTAATTCTGACATAGCTCAGTTGTTTTGTGTGTGCACACCTAGTCTTATCTGGTAAAGTATCATCAGACCAGGTAAAGTCAAGCCATTTTACTTACCATGATGTGTAAGCGTACTGTATAAGTCTGACCTCCTTCAATTCTAATTTTTACTTTCTTGTAAGAACAAAAAAGGAGAATATCACATTGGAAGTGGTTTCAAAAGACCTCAACATTTTTACATTACTGTTACAATATTCTTAGTATTTTTATCTGGAGTGGTTTTTTTTAAATAAAAGAGGATTTTCAGAGAGTTCCATGACTCAGCTTGACAACTCAGTCCATAGATAGCGAGGAGAAATAGTGGGCCAGCTAATAATTTGTGGAATGTGGCGTGGATATAAGATAGGGCCAGATTGGGAATGCACAGAGCCAGAGGAATGGTAATTACTCTGGAAATCAAACACCATCAATTGTGAGGTTTTTCAACATTTCACAGTGTCCCTCTCCCCACTTCCCCTCCCAAATCCCCTTCGCTGCTCACTCCAACAAAACGGCCCATGCTGCCACTCCCTCCAGCCTTCAGCATGTTTTTTTTTTTACTTTTTTTTTGTACCCCAATTCATTTTGCTACTTCTGCTTTCCTCTCTGCCCTCCTATTTATTTTCCTTTAATTTTCTCTACCCTCTAGCTTTATCTATCTGCACTTTGTTTTTCCTGTCTCTCGCACTACACCCATTTATACCCAGTCCCGCTGCCAAGTTCACTTTATTTCCCATCTCAAGCTTTCCTCCCATGCTCATTTACTCACACACATTTAAACACAAAGACGTGCACTCGTTCAAATGACCACATAAGACAAATTACCCTCATCACTGTATGTCTGGAATGTGAAAACTCTTTGACCGAAACATTTGTTTTACATTCCAAATCCTTTTAAAGACCCTCACTTACTGTGCGCTCTGCAATCTGAGGAAACAGTTCACGTAGAGACTATCCTCTTCACCCATTTTTCTTCCACCTAATCTGTGATTATTTATGTAATATGTCTTCAGACACACACACATTTCCTTTTTAATGACAAAAATTAAGGATGAATTATATGATTATAAGTCTATAATAGTCAGCCTTCAATGTAATTGCATGTGCTTTTTGATTTTTCATGCCCGTCTTTTTGCAGATATGTGTTAATATCAGGGTGCAAAAGTTTAACGTGTCTTTTTTCTAATGCAATTTTTCTGCACTTTGAACTCAAAGTCCATAAAATGGAATTGGACAAGTAAGGCCCCTACCAGGGGTGACTGTAGCTGAAGAACTGGGAAGGCACACTTCATCTATCTTTAGACAACTGCAACTCCCAACAGTAGCCTCTTCCATCTAGCTCCAGCTGGATGTGTAATTCGGCAGAACACAAATCTCGCTTGGCAGTTGAGGCAAGACACAAATCCTTACTACTGACTTGGCTTTAGCATTCATGTTTCTAAGCCAGTGATGTGATAAATTTTAATATGTCTTGCCATTTGCCCAACAGTTATTAACAGAAGTAAAGATGCTGGCCAGTCTAAAGGGCATATTGAGGGTTTTGAAAATGTGCAAGCTGGTAAGTCAGTCAGTTAGGGGAGATGTTTTATAAGCTTTTCAAAACTTCTAAATCCAGTCTCTCGTGCTCCTGCAATTCATCCCCTACCCGACACACACACACATGTCTGCAGTGTCAGCCACCCGTCTGTGAGAAGACAAATAGAGGGAGGAAGCAACGCATTAGGGAGGCACGAAAACTCGCACTTACTCTGACACACGTGTCTGCAAATTCGCTGGGCGGACCAGCCAGGCCTTGCCTGTCTATTGCCTGTCAAGTGTCACCAGGCATTGTTTTTCAGAGCATAACATTCAGACTGCACTATGTTTAAAAGGTCAATGTATGTATTAATTTATGATTCCGTGTAGAGGTATTTTCTTTTTCTCTTAACACAACCTTAAACTTGATGAGTTTTATTGATATTTTATGTGGCTGTGCAACACAAAGCATACAGTAAAAAGAAATTTGATAAATGCTTTCAAATTCTGTTCCAAAGCATAAGCCCAAACAAGTGTTCTTTTATGTGTATTTGGCAGCTTTTACTATGATATACCTAAATAAAACCATTTTCTGACAATAGCCACTCTTCTTATTTTTAAAATATAAAAAAGTTTATTGATCAGATAAGCAGCCAAGAGGTTCAGTATAGAGGACATGGGCCTGACGTCAGCCGGTCACGTGACATCCCTGACTATTCCTCCATCTTTGCAAAACAAACCCTGCATACATAGGAGATGGCCAGCTTCTATTACAGTCTTTCTCCACATTACCTTAAAAACACCAACACAAACATGGTAATCTCGTGTTCAGTATAGGGATGTTACAAATAGCATGGAAGAAAAGACAGGATCTAATTTTATTGCTTCCCTAAAGACCTAGAAAGGCAAGCAAGATGGTCTAGCAGATCCCTAAGGACCCCATCCACCACCTCATCAGGAACATATCCGCGCATTGTAGGGAGTTTATGCAGGTATGTAGAGGCCACACACAATACTGTGCCTTATTTTCAGCTGTTTAAAGGACATTACAGCAAAGTTGGATCAGCCTGTAGTGTTTTTCCCACTTACATTTTTTGTGACTCCAAATCCAATGGTTAATAAATGTGATTTCCATTGATGATCTTTATGTGATTTTGTGCTCTGCACATTCAACTTTGTTAAAAACAAAGTATTCAATGAGAATATTTAATTCATTCAGATCTAAGATGTTTTATTTGAGTGTTCCCTTTATTTTGTTTAGTAGTGTCTAATGCTAAACAAGCATATTTTACTCTACATGCGACAGGCTGACACCACACCTGCCTGAATAAAACGCATGTAGTATGCAATACTTCTGTTTAGTGTTATATAATCTTGTGGTTAGTAAATATAGGTGACCTCGATGCGCCAGTGTCGTAATGCCGATGCCATATTCTTTGAGCTGCCCTGAGTAGCTGCCCATATAACCAAGCAAAGATATCTAATACTTTAAGATAACGCAAAATAATATGTCTGAATGGCCATTGAATCTATTCAAAAGTAAAACCTAAAAAAAGATTAGAATCAATACAAATAGAAATTAATCCCCATCAGGCTGAGCTGGAGTCATTTGTAAAGAACAATACACAATTAATCTTAGTCTCTAGATTTTTCAAGCTGAATAAATAAAAAAAACGTCATCAGGAACAGACAGGGATTGAGATACAAAGCGTAGATTTGGGATTATTAGTTATAAAAACATAATTATAGATAGATAGAAAGATTTTTCCTGACATTTTTGCACCTTTTTAGTTGGTTTATCACATAAAATCCCAATGAAATAGAATGAAGGTTTTGTTTACAAGATCACAATAAGGGAAAAGTCCCCACATATAAAATTGCAGTGGGTGGGATGCAAACAATAGCTAATTGATGAAGGAAGTCGGGCTTTGCGAACACAAAACTGAATTGATTTAGCAGCAGTGAAGCTTTACAGTAGCTGACATATTATTTCCATAATGTTAATTTACTATCAAATTCTAGACTATATCACAGGCTCAAACATGGACCTGCAGGAGTTACCCCCCATAATACAGAAGAAAAAGATTCTAAGATTCAAAGTTGGCAACAAAAATCCCAAAAATGTTTGATAAACGTGCTTGAAAATTGCTTTCAACACATTAAATAGTTTCCAGAATCTGTGTTTCATCACTTGGGGCTGAAAGCAAAAGCGTCCACCATTTGCATACAATACTTTTGCGCTGAGGTCTAAACAAAACCCAATCAAAATAAACTGCACATTCATTTGGGCTATAGTGCTTCCTGTTTTTGAAAGTGTGCTTATCATAATATCCTGTCTGGGCTCAGGCGCAAACAGTAAATTGGCCTTTTAATTACACAAAAACTTCTAAGAGGAAAAGATTCTCTTATGTGAGAGACGGCAAGTTTAATTTATCTAGAAATGTTTTAGGCGTGGGTTTTTTTTAACCCAGATTAGGTGCGAGTGAAGATAAAAAAATACATTTTAAATGAAATCTAAAGAACAATAAAAGAAAAACATACTAAAATTTACTGCCAGAAGATCCCAGCCTCTGCTGATATGGCGCCATTCTTTATTGTTAGAATGCATTGGTTTTCCCTTGAAAGCAGTTCCCAGTTTATGTCAAATATGACCTCTTCTTTGTTTAAAGATTTAAATAATACAAAATTAGACCCATTTGTCTAAAGAATATTAATTCAGAAGTCCAGACGCATCTTGTAGAAAGGATATGCTAAAAAATATATTGCTTTAACTCTTCTTAGCATAATAGTTCAGATGTAACCATTATGGACTAACCACAAAAATGTGTGCAGCCCTACAGAACTCCAGATCTGATATACACCTTTTATAAGTTAGCTGCTCGTATGAAATACTCTAGTGCATAGAGACTGGGCAACTATGTACCAAGCAATGGTGTGAAGATATTGTCTTCTCTTTGTTGCCTATTGTACCTTATATTGTGGGCTAAACTGACTAACTTTAAAATTTATACCTGCTTGAAGGAGAATAGAAGACACATGTTCAGCATCACATGTTATTGGTCTACTAATAGAGTTGAAATATCATCCACTGACCTTTTGGCTGTACTTTGGTCAACAGCGTTGATGACATTGCTACAGAAATCAGAGAAGTAAATAATAGAGAACATTGACGGGAGCCAGAGCATAGTAAGTATTCCTTATCATTTCGCTCTTTTATCTGATAGAATTAAACATCAAATGTAAACAGAGTGGTTTCAGCTTGTTAGATGAGAGGCGGCTAGTGCGGTGTGTTGACATCCGTAAGTTGCGCTCAGTCATATTACGTAATTCAGCGGGTCAACACGGGTCTAGTGTTTCCACAGCATGCCTGTCAGAGACTAGGAGACTTTAACACTGGTCGCTTGCCAAGTCATCTGACCTGGGTAGACATGTGTCGGTGAGCGGTTCCCACTGCCACTAAGAGCCGATTGTTCGCAGGTTTAAACGGGTTTTTCGACCAGCGTGAAAGGGGTATTATAGACCTATTTCTAATCTTCTGGGGTTTTTTTCTAAAATCTTTGGGAAAATAGTTGCTAAACAAGTGCGAGAACAGTTACACCATGTATCATTGGCTCTTCCCTAGCACCTTTGTGGCTCTTATCAATCAATTAACTTTATTGTCAACTACAATTTACATTGCAATCAAGATTTCAGTTTCAGTACAAACCGTCCGTCACAATACATAACATACATTGGGGTGGGGGGGCTGAGAGGGGGAACGGTTTTACTGAGGCCTTGCGTGCCGCAGAACGCCGCCTTTGGTGCGTTCTTATGGCTTCCCAGGTTCCTACCGCTTACCTGTTTGGTACCTATTTGGTTTTACGTATAACTTTATGTTCTCTCTGATTTTTTTCATCATAGTAGATTTATCTGGTCTGTTCTCGGCGATGACAGCATCCTAGATTGATATATCAGCTGTGCTGCTGCCATAGACATCTCTGTTTATAGATATTGAAGCTTGACCTGTTTCAAGTGTAGTCCTGTTTCTTTTATTGTGACTAGAAGAACTGGCTTGGAACTCATCTGCCTGGCTGTGTCATTCCTGGACAGTTACCCTTTTTATCCCTGCTACTTTCAGTATCTCTGCTTCTGTCTCCTTAAACCCCAATCAGCCCCAGCAGATGGCCAGTCACACTGGTTCTATTGGAGGTTTCTTCCTGTTAAAAGGGAGATTTCCTCTCAACTCTCTCAACATGAATGCTATGTGTATGGGATTAACGGATTAAAGAGTCAAGGCAAAATGCAAGCGAATGTTTGTTGCAGCAGTCTAATCCAGAAGGAGCATGTCTTCCAAGTTAATGAAAGGATGCCATCAACTGGTTTCCCTAAGAAATCTCAGAGTATTGTCTCATAAAGTGCCTTGAGATGACGTGTTGTGAATTTAATTTAATAACCCCTAAATCAATTCCAAATAAAAAAGGAAAACAAATTGTTGAAACATGTGAAACCTCTTACATACATACCTACATAATAATCAATAGAGATTATCCTCAAACAAGGTGCAAGAATCTCTAAAAAGGATATAATTTTTTGTGTGAATTGCACAAATTTGGTATTTAGGGGAGAATGTTAGCAATAAAGCCAATGTTGTAGTTCTAAAAATCTGCCTAAAAATATGTCGATCAGCCAAATCAACTAATGCATTCAGTTAAACATGGTAGCAGCATCCTGATGAGTCATTCTCATTTGCACAAACAAAGCAGCTGCTTAGAGTTAATGGGAGTATGGAACTGCTTAAATGGCTCATTTTAATTCAAGACCTCATAAGTTATATGAATATTGGAGCTAAAGTCCAGATCTAAATAAAGTAAGACATTTATAATAGTTTAGAACTTACCTGTGTTCCAGTTTGACTCTGCTTGTACTGTTTCATAATGTTGAATGTAGTCAAAATTTCTGTTTCACCTTTGAGAACCTAGTCACACCAGATATTTCTAGCTCTCTAAATCTAAAAAGGGAGTCCACTGAGAAGGTAAAGTGATCTGATCCCAAAACAGTCTCATCTGAATTATTCCGGAGCGCAGGAGCAGCTGTTGTAAACCAGCACTTCACAGTATCTCAAAGAAATTTTACCCTGTAGCAAAATCTCCTCCAGATCAGTGAACCGTCATCAAGGTCCAGTTACAGGTGCATTCACAACTAGAGAGAGACAGGTAAAACTGCAAGATTGGATGGCAAACTCAATGAAAAAAGGCATGTTAATAAGATTTCTTCTTCAACTTATATATTGAATAATATAACATAGCTCAAACAACCCTCATTTCGCTTGTAATTTAAATTAATGAGATTCTTTTTATACATGAGTCTTCTTTCTGTAACATTCTATTGGAAACATAAACATTATTTCCAGTTTGAATAGTTTCCAATAGTTAATTTGCACTTGATTTCAATAATGCTTAAGTTTAAAAGCAGAGAGTCTGCATGGGAAACCAGGAGCATGCTTGACAACCTTAATGACATTCGCACATGTTGCTTAACTTAACAGATAAAATTCCTCTATTAAAATCATCATCAAGAGCGCAAGCACCCCCGAGGTCCAACAACCCCAAGACATGGACATGCATATGCACCTCGACTAAACAGAAGGAAGCTAATAAGGGAAATCAAAGCAGAGAGCTGCACTCGGTGATGACAGGGTGTACTAGGATGTTGTCATACAACCCCTGAATGGTCTGTCTGCTTCCATGGCAACCCCCAATGCTCTGTTCTCATGGGCTCGTAAACATCATCCAATACCTCGGTAAATACAAACATTTTAATCTACGTCCATCATCCAGTGGTCAGAGTACAGTCTTGATTTACAGTTTACCTCTTTGTTCGCCTATTTCCCCTGTTGTTCCCACAATTTTCCCTTTTCATTTGGTTTCGCATTCCTGAGCCGTGAACCCTCGCCGCGCTGAAAGTTTTGTGTGTGCCTGCGAGACGGTTCGTGACATTCATTGTGATGAATGCCCGGCACCTGGGAGTGAGCGACATAATGAAATGTAAATCCACCGCGCTGTAAATGTTACTCTGATTTGTGATGGAGTTTAATGATGAGTGTTTTTGCTCCAGCTAGATTTTTAAAAGCCAGACAGGATGCTGTTTTAGCAGAAAAAAGTCAAACATTGATGTAATCAGTTTGGAGATTAATATAATTTTCAGACATTAAACAAATACAAGACATTGTTTTGAGAAAAAAGAAACTCCAACATGGACCATTTAGAAAATGTGTGTAATATTAAGTTGGAGACTAGAGTATGAAAGCAAAAAAAAGAAAAATCTAAAAAGTGTAGTGCTTAGGAAAAGCAGTTATATATTGAGAGTTCCCATTTGAAATTTTAACAACAGAACCATATACTAAGTGGAACCAACTTTGGTAAATGGCCTTTATTTGAACTTGCAGTTGCAAGTGGAAGTGTCTCCAAGCCTCCATATTTATCCTTGTAAAGCAGCCCAGGAAAAGTGTGATTTGATGAAGTGCTTCAGTAATCATCATTCTTTCAGTCTTGGCACAGATGTTCAACTGGATCCAGGTTTGAACTTTTACTGGACCTTTTAAGATTTGGACATGCTTTAACCTGAACAACTTAAAAGTGGCATTTTAACCTTAAACAGAGGTTAAAGGTTGTCCTGCTTGGAGATCAAACTCCAGCCCTGCCTTAAAGAGACATCTTGTAAGTTTCTACTGAGAAAAAAACCCTTTAAAATAGCATTTTTTTTTTATTTATGACTTAAACATTGTTTGATTTGCAGACTGACACCTCAGTAGTTAAGCACCGATGCATCTATAGGCCTGTAGCCTATTTTTCTGAATTTACCTCAGGTTGGAACCCATGCTGTTCTGCGCATGTGATGTTAAGCACGTCCATGTTGAATGGGTCCGACCTGGCAAATAATACAATCTTTAGATTCAAGATGGGTTTTTTGGTTTCAGCTTAACTCAGACACGTACGAGGACTACAGGTAAGGTGAAAAAAGTGAAAATTAAAAATCTTGTCAAGTACAAGCTTGCACTACAAGAGTAAGCAGAGGAGTGCTGCAGTTCTGTGTGTTTTTGGAATTGCACTGCTTAAGGTGGCTGCAAGTTGGAGTAGCTCTGCTTGACTCTGATATTTTTTCTTAAGAGAACTTTGGTTTCTCTGTTTGTGGTTGAAGAGACGAGGGAAAAGGACAGTTATTTAATTTAGAAATCCTGCGAAACATCTAAAAGCGTTCAACAGATGTTAAACTACTGAGCACTATGGCATTTTCCCATTGCATGGTCTGGTTGTGTGAATGTAAATTCTCAGCCTTGTGAACTTTCTGGCTTAGTTGCTTGACCTCTGCGTTAGTTACAAACACACAATCAACCCATCTCTGTCAGACAACATGTTCAGATTACTATGGTATGTTAACACATAGAGTAGTTCTGCCCTTTGAACATTTCAATTTCTCCACTGCTTTCTTCCTGTCTTTGCCATGTTCCTTGGTCCTGATGCTGTTTGCTCACTTTGTTTTCTAATGGTCTGGCCTTCCCAGACCAACTGGATTTATTAATCAGATCATTTATAATCAGTTTCCCGATTCAGGGTGTAACAATTAGCTGTTGTTACCTTTATATTTGCTAAATATAACAGTTAAACACAGTATCTCGTTTTGCAGTTTGGTTTATTTTGGTTTTTTTAATGCAGTAGATTTGTTTGGGGTTTGGCATCATTAGAAGGCCTCATCTTTTTTTGTAAAAAGGTAAATTGATTTCACTTAACAACATTTTATTGATTGCTTTACTCTTCCTAATAGGGAAACACATATATTGATGAGTTCATTTCTAAATACTCACCTCTAGCATTTCCTTCTCCAAGTAGGTGTGTACAGGACTGCACCATTAAATAATTAAAGGGGGGTCCTATGTATGGTGTTTTCTATGTTAGGTTTTGAGTATTTTGTTTTGGATTAAATTAAAAAAATCAGTTTTGTCTTGATTGGTAAATGTATTGCTTCATTAGCTGTTCGTTTAAAACAAACATTCCATTTTCTCATTATTTTGCACCTGTATATCCTCTTAAAATGGTATCTTACAATTTAGTTTAACCTCTATTAAAGAAGCATATCTGCCATTGTTCTGTTGTTGCTGTGGTTTGGTTGATGTGCTACCAGAGAGAATTAAAGACATGTCAGTTGAAAAC